CGTGTCCCGGTGCGACGAGACAAAACCAATAAAACCCATTACAAACGAAGCATTTGTTGCATCCAGTGGGGACATAATTACGGATTATAATGACATATGTCTTTTTACACGTTGCGTTGCATCGCACCGTGTAAACATAAAACCATGTCTGCATTTGTGATCGGAGAAATGACAAACAACAAGCGCGTCTTCACAACATGGTGGCGGTGGCAGCAACAATAAAGTTACGCCTTCTTTCTTTGCGTGAACATTTGGGTGGCGTTATGCAAATCTTCCCACATTGTGACGTGGATATGTGGGGGCGTGTTTAAACGAGGCGTTTTAGGAGTGCGTGGACCTTAACTTTTATAAAGAATATCTCTTTGGGTTTGAGACTTTAGTCTTTGCAACTTTAGGGATCTTATCTATTCACGAACAGCTTGTAACACTCCAAAGAGAAGGGAAAACTTGAAATTGCATCATATGACCCCTTTAATATCCTCTGACTGGACACAATCATAGTGCGAAGCTGAAAAAATAAAATGTACACTACATGATTTTTTGCTAAATTTATCAAATCCAACTGCCAAAAGACTGCAGATTGGCTCTTACTTTTGGCAACTAGCGTCAACTAGTCTAGACTGTAATGAGGCAGAAATCTGGGCAAAAGCCATGTAGTGTATTCCAACCTTAAAGATTAAAGTAACATTAGATAGTCTACATGTACAGGTGCATCTCAATAAATTAGAATGTCGTGGAAAAGTTCATTTATTTCAGTAATTCACGACATTCTAATTTATTGAGATGCACCTGTAAACTGTAATAGGAGAAAATGCACAATATTCAAGTGGACAAATAGCCAATATTGATAATTGATACCAACAGATTGCATGTTAGTCTAATAATTTTTTGATTTTTTTTTAATGTGCAATAAATGCCTTATTTAGGGATAAACATTTGTGCTAAAATATAAGGTATTAAAGCACTTCCATAGCATAAAGATTGGTGTATTTTTTTTTTTCCAACATGTTCAAACACCTGTTTCTTTATCCTCTCAACCAGTGACTGTGTTCGCTTGAAGCCTGCTGACATTCAGCCCGACATCTTCAGCTACCTCCTCAATCTGATGTACACCGGAAAACTGGCGACACAGTTTATCGACCCAGCTCGCCTTGAGCAGGGCGTCAAGTTCCTGCATGCATACCCTCTCATTCAGGAGGCAAGTCTGGCTAGCCATGCGACTCAAGTGCACCCTGAGGTCAGCCTTCCCCTGTCGTCCTCTCTTTATGGCATTCAGATATCAGACCAACAGGTCACACTCACAAACCGCCTCTCAGCGAGAACGCATCTCTCTTCGCCGTTCGACTTGGAAGGTGGAAGTTTGCTCGATGGGAAGTGCATTACCACAAACAAAGCTACCTCACTTGTATCCAAGCACAGGCAAGCTCTGTCAGAAGCGGAGATGGAAGCATCTGTGAGCACCAGTCAGTTTGTGAGGGAAGGCGGTGAGACGGAAACATCTGCAAGTGAGGCCCCGTCTTGCTCCCTGAGCACCAACACCATTCTGCATGTGAAGCCCAGCATCATGAGAAGAAGTTCCTCTTTTAGGAAGCATTATACGTGCCATGTCTGCGGGGATCGCTTCACCCAGCGAGGAACCTTACGAGAGCACCTGCTTCTACACACTCAGGCTATGCTTCCCCTGGTGTTCGAGTCGGTGACTGGAGGTGCCGCCACACCAGAGGTGGAGGAAGTTCTCCGAGGCAGCGAAGCCACTGCAGCCACTCCCATCATCGTGGACGGTGCCAGTGACAGCGAGCAACATGTGTACTCAAAAGACTCACCACACCCTGAAACAGCTATGCCCGTCCCAACAACAACTGCAGTCAGCCTGTGCATGGTGCAGCCCCAGGCCGACACTCCACCTCCGTCCGATATTGCTGATATTGACAACCTAGAGGGTGCGGCTGACATGGAACGGGAAGTGAAGCGGAGGAAATATGAGTGCTCCACTTGTGGCCGCAAGTTCATCCAGAAGAGCCACTGGAGAGAGCACATGTACATCCATACGGGAAAGCCGTACCGCTGCAGCGCCTGCGGCAAGAGCTTCTGTCGGGCCAACCAAGCGGCCCGGCACGTTTGCATGAATCTGGGCTCGGAGCCAGCGTACACCATGGTAGACCGACAGAGCATGGAGTTGTGCGCCGCGGACGACTCCAGCCAAATGGAGGCGCTGTTTCTCGGCTCTTCTGGGAGACCATACAAATGCAATGTGTGTGAAATGACCTTCTCCAGCCCCAATGAGGTGATCAAGCACCTGTGCTTCAACCAGGGTGCGCTCTCAATTGGAGCAGCTGGAGAAATGGCCATCAGTGGGCTGAACAATGACAGCCTGGCCAAAGACGAAGGCTCGGACTCATCCAATGGTGGGCTGTTGATAACGCCTATCAAAACTGAGGAAGTCTTTGTAGAATAGCTTTGCATTCATCCACTTCAAAATATTGTTTTTTTAATGTATTGCATTTCAATCGTGGGTAAATTATGATCAGAAGTTAAGCTACAGATGGAAGATTCTGTTATATTGTTTATTTTTTCTGGGGATTTAATTCTGGAAAGTACTGAAAAGTACTTCTACTTTCTGCTTTTTTAACACTCATAAATTTGGTTACTATATTTATAACAGATTTACAGCATCTTTAGTCCAACAAGTCAAATTCCTGCTTGATTCTGTATTTCTTTCAAGGAGTTTATTAGTTACTTGGGTCATTTAGTTTGTGTTGCAGTTAAAGGTCTTTCTTCCTGTCTTAACAGCATACAGAAAAAAGGATGTAGTGAACTGCTGTAATCCTGCGTTTGTCAGTGCAGATCAGATGTAGACCTCATTAGGTTGGATTGGTAACTCAGTAGAATATTTAAAACATTAAAGCCACAAAATGATTAGTTTATGAGTACAGCACCAAAATTTCTTTTGAAAATAAAATGAAATTTTCTGAGCAGCTAAATGTGGGTCTTGGTTTAGGATGAGCATTCACTACCTCAACCGGTTTTAAACTAACCTGCAATTTGCATCAAAGGGTCGAGGATCAAAGTCAACTTTATCTTCCAGTGCCTCCGGGAAGTGTTGCACAGATCTCAAAGTTTTTCTTTCTCACACTGTTTCTAATTTCTCATTACATGCGTTGGGTTAGCAAGAGCAGGGTGTAATTGTAGATAACCTTCATGCAGTGCCAGATTACCTGTCGAACATCATCATTTATATTGTTAACGTGACCCACAATATATTTGCCTAATTATTCCACTTTTGTAATTTCACATGTGTTTGTTACAGTGCTTTTTTGTGCCATTGCCGCCTAAATGATAAGCATCCACACTGTAAAACTGGTTGGCGGCAGCTCATCAGCAGTCTGGTTGTGTTGCTCTCACTGTGGTTCAGCATGTTTACAGTTGTGCTGTGTGTTTAATCAAAGTTGTTACTGTGTGTGAATTTAGAAAACACTGGCCATTCGTACACGTACATAACGTTGCTTGAAGGGAGATATTTCTGTCACTGTTCGCCCATTTAATTTTGCCATGAAATGATTTGCTTGAATATGCTCTTACATTCCTTATTTTTGAGTTTTATATACATTTTCTAATTTTATGTACAGTGCTTTATTTACAAAGAATTTTATAATCTCAGAGGTTGTATATTGTTCAATGCATTTACTGTCGAATATGATCCATTCTAGTGTCTGTATATATGCCATCTCTGCATTGGCTGTCTTTGTTTTAATGAAACTGACAGTGAGGTCATGCTGTAAAAGCACTGATATCTACTAAAGATCCCTGACTACTCTCATCAATATACTTGTGCTACATCAGGAAACATAAAACCAGGGCGATTTACATTCAGTGCTAAATATTTCTTCTATCTTTCTCTTTGTAAAGACCTTGTAGGAATTTATTGTAAGAGCACTGTGAGTTAAGTTACTACTGAAAAGATAATTAGAACCCAGGAATGACCATTTGCTACATTTTGTTACAAGGATATATATTTTTTAATGGTAATGTTAATTTTGACCAGGCCTCCTGTTTCTTACTTGTAATCATACATTAGGCAATGTCATGCCTTTTTTCTGTAGTATTGTTAAAATTCTTTATTATTTGTACATATGCAAGTTGTTACTCTTTGAGGCAGTTATAGGGAGGGGAGGGGAGGGGTAAAGGTGCCCCAAAGCCAAGGCAAACATACTGTGATCTCTCGCTCCTCAGGAACATGAACAGTTGTCTCTGGAAAAAAATACTTCCTTTGCATTTTCATTGTGAATAATGGTAATAAATCCTTATGTTTTTGAAATGTGTATTTATTTCCTTAATATACAATACTGTTCAAAAGTTTGTACTTTTTTTTTTTTTTTAAAGAAATTAATACTTTTTTTTCAACAAATTAAAACAAATGTAAAAATATTTAAATTTTAAAATATTAACAAATGTATTTTAAATAATATTAATAATGATGTTTCACAACATTCCTGTTTTTACTGTTTATTAAATAAATGCAGCCTTTGTTAACATTTTTTTAATTTTACCAACCCCAAACTTTTTAATGGTAGGCTACTAAAAGTAATCCATTCTCTGCTTGAGGCAATTTTGTACAGCCATGTATAACGGGTGTTAGAAAACCTTTCTAAATTAAACTTTTCTTAAATATCCTTTGTATCCTCCACCCATGTGAAACAAACACTATTCATATTATAACATGAAATGGCACTACTGCTTATTTTTGAAAATAATTTACGTAAACAGCAATTTTATTCAAGTCTGGTTGTGTGAGCCACAAGGTGGCACCATTGGGTTTTTTTATGAGGCGCCACAACACCAAAACTTGCAAAAACTGTATGAACTTTAACGCTGCTTAAATATGACCAGCAGTTAGCTTATGCCAATTCAGTTATATATACTTAGATTGCTTTTTCTGTATCCTCACAATACCTAGCAATACACACAAACAGAACAAAGGGCAATGAAAAGAAAAGGCAAGCTTGATTTACGCTAGCTTTATTTAAATGAAATATAGACATGATTTTGTAACCATACTATTAACAGCTTGAAGAATACAAAAAGAAGTGAAACTCATGCTACTGGTATATAACATTCATTGGTTATTTGTTAATATTACAATATGACTGAAGGTACATAGGTATACAATTTGTACAAATGTTAAAAGAGCTTCACAGTACACTGTATTATAAAAAGCTAAGAAAAGAAAGTGAGTGGGCTGCTCATTCAAAGCGTGACAGTAGTAGCAAAGCTGTGTTTCTATTCAAGATAATGCACCGCTGTGCAGACTGTCATTTGCAGACTTTCTGAATGTTGACCAGCATATACATTTCGAGTGCTCGAATTTTGATATGCATTTTCATTAAAAAAATAAAATTAAACTAAGATCAAAGACCTGAATTTACTTGTACTACGTTTTCCTTTACAGTTTGCCATCATCATCATCCAAACACACAACTGTCACTCATTTACATTTGATTTTGAAATGCTTTCCTCGTCTTCCTGTCTGCATGTATGGCTATAATATACTCACTTAAAAGAGACTGACAATAAGGCATCTACTACGTCTTTCAAAGAAATAGTCCTTGATACAGCGATTAGGAATGTGAAAAATATTCTACACTATATTACTGAATACCCACATATCTGTGAATTAAAACCATGTGTAACCAGTGTTGGAGAGTTTACCAATACATGATGTTACTTCAGTTCTCCTTGCACAATTATCTCACACTTTTCTTTTAACCTCAGGTGCATTTTTGGTGTTGAAACATGCATTCGCTAAGGCCGTTAAAACAGTGAAGTGCACATGTACGTTGAGGACAATCAAAAAATGTCCTTTTCTAAACGTTCCCTACTCATGCAGGCATTTATCATCATGATCATCAATTTTCACAGGGTACCACTAAAAGCAAATCAAATTGAACATCTGACTTAAAATCTCAAATGTCACACATTAATGGTGAAATTGTTCATTGTGATTGTACATGATAAATATACATAATAAAAAGACAACATTTCACAGTAAGGGACGAAGTGGTATATCTACAGTGAGAATGGAGATGATAATGACTGGACATTGTGTTTCAGAGTTAACTGAATTTTATGTCATTTTCACATTACAGCCACAGCATATTATGCGCTTTTTCATTTGCTATAGCTGTAGAGGGTGTATCTGTACCATGTTTGTTAAAATGACATGTCTAAATAATATTTTGTAGTTTTACACCAGCATGACATCGATTTCAATGTTTTTTAAGAAGGTTAGAACATGTTTGAGAGGGTTGAGAGAATATTTTAGATTTAAATACAATATACAAAATAACAACCCACCTACTTCAACACCACAGACACACATTCGCTCATACAATATTCTCTCCATTCGACAGGCTGCTGACAACTAATAAAAAAAGAAAATGTTCATCAAAAAAGTTGCAGGTGGGAAAATGGCATCTGATGCAATTTGGCAAAATACAGGAAAGTGGGAGTAGGGGACATCCCTCAGTGAGTCCAGTGAGGCGCGAGACCTCGTGACATGGCAGCTGAGTTATAAGGAATTTGGAAAAAGGAAAAGAGGGGTGAATGGATGGATTTAAGGAGAGAGAGAGAGAGAAGGGAGATTGGCCTCGAGTCTCCTGCTCTGGGAGTTGGTACAGAGCACTGTCTCTTAGTGTCCTCCATGGCTGCCACTCACTTTCTGCTTTCCGGCAAGCTCTGTGCCCCAGTCATGTGACTGCTTTCTACATGCAGACTGCAAGACAAAAAGAATGATGAGAAAATGGTGAGAAAAAACTATTCTAGCACATTAGAATTTTGTTTGCAATACATTTTAAGCTTACTTACAATGCTAATTCTGCTAATTCAAATGCTATCCCTGCTGAAAATCCAGCATAAACCAGGATGAATTCCATAATGATCCAGGCTGGTTCATGCTGGTTAGTACTGGTACAGTGCTGGTTAGTGCTACTTTAGCTGGTAGACCAGCATAGTCATGCTGTTCTCAAGCGAAATGGAGCTGGTGAAGGTGGTTCACAAGCAGGGTTGATTGTGAGTAGGCCAGCTGTCTGTATGCAAGCAGTGTGTTTGGAAACAAGCATTGTTTTTATTTGCATATTTCATTGTTTAAAACATGAATGATGTAAAATCCATATAAGATTATGTACATTGCATTTTAAACACGATTTATTGTAATAAATTTATTTTGCTCCCTCTGTTGATGGCAGAACTGAGAATTTTAGTTGTTTGAGATATGATTATATTATTAATCAATGTTACCTGAAGTTTTGAATATCAAAGAAAAAAAATCTAACTGGTGAAATGTTTTTAAAAGGATTTTTTCATCAATTTCAAAGGATCTGTACACAAATAAGTTAAAACAGTTAAAAAGAGCTTGTGTGCATTGCAAAACACAAACATTTAGAGATATGAAAACAAAGAAAATGCCACATAATACCACACAGAAGAAATAAAGCCATTATGAAAACTGAGCAATGTTAATTTAACACTGAAGATTTTGCTGTGCAAATAAACATGTAACCTGCATTGTGTTTTTCTTTATTAAATTATTTATTACAATTAATTGGATAATTAGTCATTATTAGTAATAATTAGTCATTATTACTATGAACACAAACTAAGAAATGTGAAATATAACACATATGTGAGTTCTGTTTTTGCTGAGATCATGCCAGCACCCAAAAGATAACATTCTGGTCCACCAGCACACCAGCATCCCAAGCTGGTCCCTGCATGCAAAACATACCTTATGCAGGTCCACCAGCACACTTGCTTCCCGTGCTGGGAACCAGCAAACCAGCAACCAGAGTCCCATACTGGTCCCAGCATTCAAAACATACCTTATATGCTGGTGACCAGCAATGTGGGAATTTTCAGCAGGGATTTCAAAACTGCATTATGCTTTGCACTCTTTTCTTTTCTCACAGCTCTTTAATCAGTTAACATGACAAGCTACTATCCTATTATGTTATGTTGTCACCCATTATTTCACATGAATGCACATATTGCTCTTCCATCTGCACTGCATCTTCTGTGCCACCACTGTCTCACTCTGTTTGTATGACTCAGCACAAGTAACCAAGGCAAAGGGGGCAGTGAGAGAGAGAAGAGAGAGCAGTGCACCAAAGCTCATGCTGCGATGCTATAGTTCACCAGCCTCTGCTGTACTGCAGTGCTGCATTAGCACTCATCAAACATTTATCAGACACACCCAGGTCTCTTCTCGCATCCACTTTCTTTGGCCACACTTTACATTAGGGCTCATTGTACAGTATAGTTATGTTAATAGGTGCAGAGTAAAACTAATGAGCAATACTTGATATGTATTTATTTTATGGAGTTGCCACTGATTTAACTTTTTTTTTTCAAATGCAAGTAAACATAATATGTGTTATAATGATAGTATGTTTACATGCCTTTTAATAGTTTGATTTGAGTCAGACTAAAACAATAATTCATCTTTTTAAAATATAATGTAAACGTAGTCGTACTACTAATGCAATTGTAGCTTGGCTTCATTAAGCATGTAAAAACATTATTCTGACTACAATTGGCCTCAGCACTGTGTGTCTCCTCCGAAAGATGGGTGGCGTGCAACATGCATTTAACCCTTCAAATATTTGATTATGTATTTTAATCAAATATTTAAAGGACAGATGAAGACCAGCTGTTGCTCAATTATTACTGAAAATGTCAATCTACTTACTATAATGTAGTATTACCCTTCAAGTGTTAGAAGCCAGCATTCTATAATAATAATTTCTTGTTAAAACTGACGTGAAGTACTACATGAAGAATAATGCTATTCAACTCTCCAAGGCTTAATCCATTGAGAAAAATAAATCATGAAATTAAGTTTTATTCTCTCTGCTTATATGCTTATTTGACACTACTAAGGGTTGTATTTGATCATGCAGTGTATCTTATCAGATGAATTGGTTCTATAACTACTTATTGAAGGCTTTGATGAGTGGAAGGGAATAAGAAAGTGCATTAGGGAGGGGGTGGGGAATTATACTCTGTCTTTCACCACAAGTTCATCTCTCTTCCCACAGCTTCCCTTTAAGACCCAGCATACAAAGTGAAGGGTCAGGCAGCGGCATTCCTGCTTTGATATCGAAGGTCCCTTGGTTACTGGTACATGGAACAAAAGCTTTTTCATCTTACCAAATGGAAATCTACCCCTAATAAAACTAAGAGCCATTGAGGTTTTTAAACAGACACCATGCAAAAACTGTGATAAGGAATGGGGAACTTTTTTGATGGACTAAACTACCTTTGGAAACGTAATATTTTTTATATAATTGTTTTGATTTACATTTAAAATGAAAAATAAAACGATCAATTTCATTAAGTTAATAAAGACTAACCTGCTCATGACACTGTGACAGCCCCTGTAGAGACAGGCTCGATCTCATTCCTGACCTCCTCCATTCCCTCCTCCACTGTAATGGCATTTGCTGTCTTCTCAGTAGCAGTCTCCAGTTTGGCAGGTACATTTTCAGCATCTGTCTTTTGGCAATCTGGATCTCTGGACTCTGCCTGGTTTGTCGCGTCCTGTGTTGAAACCTCCGTTTGAGGTTCTTCCAAGTCTTTTTGAGGCTTGTCTTCTACTGATTCCTGACCCTCTGAACTTTCTTCTTTCATGTTTGTCCCCGGGTCTTGAACAGGTACATCATCTGCATTTATGACATTTATGACACCAACTTTAAATTCCTGTGCAGTCTCAATCTGTACCTCCTGTGCCATTTGACACTGCTCAGCCACAATCTGGTCTTGACTTGCACCTGTAACAGATGTTTCTGTCATCTTTTCTTCCGATATGGCTTCAGAAACCTCTGAAGCTTGTGTCTCTTGCTGGATTTCTGTTGGCACTTCCTTGGGATGAGATTCAACTTGACTTTTTCCATCTTCACTTTCTGTGGTTCCACTAAACTTTTTCTCTTCTGCTTGCTTAAGTTCGACTTCACCTTTTGTTACTTCTGTTTCTTGATGCACATCTTCCACAGAGACTGTGGCAACCTCCTCATTTTGAGGTTGGATTTCATCTGTGATGGAAACCATAACTTTTTCTGTAATCAGAATGGAGTCGTTAACTCTTTTCACTGCTTTCTCAGTGACAATGTGACTTTGTTTATCATCATCTTTGCAGATATCGTCAGATGCTTTTGGCTTCTCTGGGCTTGTTTCTAGAGGAGCTTTTTCCACCAAAACGACGTCTGTTGAAGGGTTTTCTTCAATCATTCCAGAAACTGCTGGGGCCTCTTCAAATTTGACATCTACTGATGTGGTACAGCGTTCTACCTCCTCAGTAGTCTTCTCAGACACTTTTTGTTCTGCATGTGCCTCAGCAAGGTTCTCTACAACATTTTGAATGACCTCTTGCACAATAACACTGCTCTTTCTCTCAATGATTTCTGCTTCTGTCACTCGGGTTGCTTGGATCACTTCAGTTTCTTCTTTCACATTCTCAATAACTTCCTCAACCACAATCCTAACTTTTGTTGAGGTTATTTCTAAGTTTGCCTCAACAATTTCTTGAGCAGAGTCAACCTCAGCATCATTCACTATAACCTGGATTTTGTGGTCACCTGTGGAAAGAACAAGAGGAACCCTTTCCATAACAGTTTCATGAGCTAGATCTGCTGAATGGGATTCTGTCATCTCAGATGTTGAGCTTATAACACAAATAGTCTCTTTCATGATAGCAAATTCTTCAGTGGCGGCTATAACAGAAATGGGATCTTCTGTAGACCCAGCAGTTTGAGAAGCAGGCACCTCTGGAAGGTTTGCCATGACCTCCTCTGTTACAGCCATGGCAACTCCCTCCACAGACGCTACCTCAACTGTGGCTTTAACGTCTTTAACATCCTCCATTTCTTGCACGTTCTCACCTTCAGCAACAGCAACTTCAGTGACTTCTACAGTTTGAGCACAGATTGAATCTTCAACAGTTGGTTCCACAGGACCTGCAGCCTCAACCTGAGGGGATTTTTCTGCCACCACCGGCTCTTCAAGAAACTCTGGTTTCTGTTGTACAGAATTGATGAGCGCTACTTTGACTGCTGCTACATCTTGGAGATCAGTCACAGACTCAGGTTTCTCCTTTATTTCTTCAAACTGTGTTTTCTCCTCAACAGCATTTTCTTTGAGCTCTGTCTGACCTCCACTCATCTGAGCCTCATGAACCTCATCCTCAGTCACACTGGCCTTTTCAGGCTCTTGTGTTTTGTCTTCAACAGCCAACTCTGTGACAAGCACCTGGCTAACAACTGTTACCGACTCTACTGAAGCCTTCTGAGTGAGGCTTTCTTCCTCCACCGCCTTTATTTCACTAGTGTCAAGGCCAGTGCAAACAGCAATTGCCTCTGTTTTCTCATGTGCAACCAAGACTGTTTTCTCTTCCTTGATAGCTGACTCGACCAAAAGAGCATCAGTGGTGACTGCAGCTATGTTTTCCTGTTCATTAGTCATGGTGGCAGCCATGGCATTTGTGGTAACGCTGAAAGTTTCCACAGCTTCTTGTAGTACTACATCGGTCTTCTCTACGCCATCAGCTGGGACAGGAGTTGTCTCACCTGATGTAACTGGTGATGCTGTAACACGTGATACAGCAGAATCCATTTCAGTCTCCTCTACTTGTTCAAGGGCCGTAACTGCTTCTGATGTAAGCTCAACAATGTCCTCTGCAATAGTGTTATCAGTTGATTTGGGTGTGGCAGCTGTGTCTCCTTCTTCGGGTATGTCACTCAATTGCTTTCCCTCTGTTTCATCCTCAACATTTTCCACAGTGGTTGAGATCCAAGATGGGGATCTATCCTCAGCTGAGGCTTTTGCCTGAGTGACTGGTGCAGATTCTTGCTTCACTTCCTCTGCCTGAACAGCAACTTCTGCAGCTGGTTCATTTTCATATTCTGAAAGAGGCACCACAGCTGGAATGTCAGAATCATCCTCTGTAGAGCCAATGTCAGAAGAGATCTGCTCTTGTTTACCATCAGACTTCTTCTTCCTGCGTGGAATCAATTTCCTCAAAGAGAAAGAGGATTCTTCTTTGGGGGCTTCACTGTCAGATGTTGTATACTCCGGGCCTGAGGCCTCATCAGCCTTGTCTTCTGCTTTAGGTTTCTTTCTGTGGGTTACCAGCCTCTTGAAAGATTCCCAGGTAGACACAAGTTCTTCCTCTGGTTCAGGTGAAGAAGCCAAATTCTCATGGTCAGCTTCACCAGAGCTTACAAGAGGGGCCTCGGCGGTCTTTGTCTGCTCTTCTCCTGACTGCTGCACTTCTTCCTCAATCTTAGGTTCTTCATCATCAGAATCAGAAGTCTTTCTGGCCCTTTTTTTAGCTGATCCCACACAAATAAGGGCTTCCCAGGACACCGATGTATCCATTTTTCTTTTTGGTTCCTCTGCAACTGGTTCAGGCTCCTCAACTTTTGGCTCAGCCTTTGATTCTGTCTGTGACTCTTCTTTAGACTCAGATGGTACCTCTTCAGAAGGTTTAGGCTCATCGGTTTTCTCATCAAAGATGGCACTCTCAGTTGAAGATAGGGTAGAAGATTTGGGTTTGTCTCCAGGCGCTTCATCTTCGCTCTCAGAGGGCCTTTTGACACGTTTTTTTGGAGTGACTAGTTTTTTGAAAGAGGACCATGGTAAAATTCCATCTTTCTTCTTCTCACTATCAGAAGTGACTGGTTCACCATTAGTCTCCACAGCTTGAGCTACCTCAGCTTGAGTTACCTCCCCTTCAAGATGCTCACCAGATTCTTCTGGAGACGATGCTCCACTGTCAGGTTTCTGGGGCTCAGCTGACTCAGTGGATGACTGGATGTTTTCAGAAACTTGTTCACTTGATTCTGTTTGCTTTGACTTTGCTTCTTTCTTACTCTTCTGCTTTTTGGATGACAGCTTTTTTAGTCCTGCTCCTGTAAACAGCTTCTTTAGTGGGCTTCCCTGAGCCTTGGATTTCTCCTGAGATGACAGGATTTCAGCTTCAGTTGTCACCGCTTCTGAAACATCTGGCTTGTCAATTGTTGGTTTTGAATCATCAGTGGCTTGAGCTTCAACAGCAGTTTCAGCAGCTGGAGCTTCAGCAGTCTCAGTCTGAGTCAGAGTTTCAGCTTCACTTGCAGCCTCAGCTTCCACCTTAAGATCTTGTGGCTCTTCTGTCTCAGTGGAAGTTGTTACAGTGGTCATTTCAGCTTTAGTTTCAACCTTTTCAGAAGGTTTCTCTATCTGCTCACCCTCAGCTGGTTCTTTCTCTGCATCCACTTTAGCTTCCTCTGTACCCTCAATAGCACCCTCTGCTGTCTCCTCAGTTTCCTTAATGTCCTCCTCTGCAGACTTATCCTTGACTTGTTCCTCATCTTTGGGCTTTTTGAAGCTTGCCTTCTTCCGAAGGTTAGAAAAGATTCCCTGAGTGAAAAACCTCTTAAAGGGACTCTGTGTCTCTTGAGAGAGTGGACTTGTGGGCAATTCAGTTGGCCCTTCTGGCTCTGGTTCTTTCTCTGATATTGACCCTATTTCTTCAGCAGATTTTTCAGTCACCTCCTCACTGGCCTTTTCAGTCTCTGATGGGACATCAACTACAGTTTGGTCTGCTGGTTCTTCAGCCTTATCAATCACTTCTTCAGTCGTGGCCTCTTGGTCTTTTTCTGTAATCTCTGGTGATTTGTCTTCCACAGATTTGTCTTCCTCTGTTGAAGGTTCCTCTTTCTTTTCCTCAGAAGTTGCATCTGCACCACTCTCTGCTTCCTTCACTGTCAGCAGTTGCACAGGCTCAGTCTTCTCATTCTTGTCTTTCTTCAGTGTGAACTTGAATCCAACAAACCGGAAGATCTTCTTGAAGTCCACCTCATTGGCCTCCTCTTGTTTTTCCTCTACTGCCTTCTCTTCTGTAGCTGTAATTTCATCTACATTTGCAGAATCGTCTCCTTTCTCTCCATTAACTTGAGGGACAACCTCTTCTTGATGCACCTCAGTTGTTTCAGGGTTGTCTTCTTTTTGGGTGATGGTGTCCGTCTGGCCAGCTGTAATGTAAAATATGCAACGTTTTAGTAAAGTTTCTAGTATATTTATTTCAGTTACAGTATTTCAAGTTACCTAAGTTCACACTTAATAGCATAAATCAAATCATCATCATTGGAATCATCAAGGAATGAGATTAACAGATCTCAAATATCAGATTATTAATTAAATATCATAACACGCATGAAGTCTTATAAAACTCATTTGTCTCTTATGGATAGCCAGTTTTCAACAGGTCTAAGTGTAGAAAAACAAGTTAGAGTTTTAAAAGCAAAATACATGATCTGATATAATTAATTCAAGATGGAGGGCTGTGGCATTTGAAGGAAATCGGAGCCACATTGCTAGAAAACCTGCAAAAACATTTTTATCCCCTGTACAGATTTAATCAGGCATATGATGGCAATTTGATATTAAGTTTACATTTTCTGGTCTCTTTCTTGTGACCACCAAAAAAAAAAAAAGCTGGGGAATGATGACAACATTTAACATCAAGGCAACCAGGGGAAATTTCTATGTTGTAAGCTTCACAGTTATGCAGGCTATGTTGCCAAACTTTTGGACTATGAAATTGGCCTTATTTAATAAAACACAGCAAACACATAATGACATCACTTTATTAATCTTCTTTAAGCCTGTATATGTGCCCAGTTCTCAAGCTTTCAAGACAAAATGTAACAACTAAAATTGCAACAGGTGGGATAAACAAGAGAACACACACACACACACACACACACACAAACTCATGTCTTGAATTACTCCCTTGCCTATCTGTGTTTTGACAAGAGTGGGTTGGTTTTGAGGGTGTGGGGCTAGGAAGAGGGAGTCGGGTTCGCATGTAGTGTGAGCCTCCTAGAGGCCCAGTTTCCCTTTGACATCCAACCTAGCAAGGGACTGTTCACATCTGGCTCTGCTTGCTCTTGCTCTATGGTCTGAAACCCACCCAGTGACTTTAAAAACAAATTCCAAGCATTTTTAATGCATGGATATCACATTACTTGGCTTCCTAAACACTTGTATGACACAGGCCAAGATAAAGAGGCAGCAAAGCATTTATCTATCAAAACAACTTAAGCCAGAAATCAAATGATTTATAAATTGTTCTAGAAGAATTTCTTTTTTATGTGACTGGTAAAGTCGTGGACTGATTACCCTAACCTTGAAAATCTTACAGCTAAACAACAGAAACGGCTTATATTTACTGCCTGCCATCATATCAGATTATTAGGACAACATAGAGTCATTAAAATAAAATACTGATGCTCTTTATGCTGTAGTGGTCACTCAGTGAAAAATTACTCTTATATTTATAAGTCCATTTTCTGTTGGTTTAAAAAAAAAAAAAAGAAGCTCTGTGTTTTCAATGTATGCTTTAAATTTAGTGAAGGACAAACCTAATCCCACAAGTCAACAGGGATGCAATGGCACCCCCCACCCCCATCCCCACAGACCAAACCAAATTCTAAACTTCAGCTTAGGAAGACTGTATTGTGTTGTCCTCTTTGTCTCAGAATGGGCCCGTTTTTTTTCCTGCTTTGGCCAAAAGGTGTGGGGGGCCCACACTATTGTCCATCCTGGAACTTATACTACCACGATGAAAATCCTTGTTGTAAAATGAGAAAAGGGCATTATGGGAAGCCATATAGAATGGCAGATAAAAATGTCTAATTAGTCTTGGTGATATGGAAGACTAATTATCAAAACAATTAGCAAGTCTTTTAGTTTAAACATTCCCGGTCGTGTAGAAGTGTTAGAAAAAGTAAGAAAGTTGGGTGTGATCAAAATGTCAGAGCAGTACAGTAATTAGGCAAATATTAAGAAACCGGCCCGCAAATATAATTAAACTAGAAACCTGCCTTAAACATGCAGTCAATTTTTTTTTGTCATTGTTTACATTATACAGGATTTGAGAGATCTGCAACTACGGATTATATGCTCTTAATTCATCTTTACATTATTTTACAAACATCTCCTTTGGATGTATTTCAGGAGGTTTCTTCTTACACCGTTGTAATGTTTTAACTATGAAGGACACACATTTTCATGCAAAAAGACACACTGCTGTTGCCTCACACATCTGGAGACAGGGAGGCGCTGTATATGTGCAAATGTATTTTTACATGAACACGAAAGACAAAATGGGTCAAACTTGGTGAAACCACCAGTTGCCCTACATTTGCCTTTGTCTCAATGGTGGCTCAGACTTGGGAAACTCAAGCCAAGGAATTTGATAGAGTGTCTGTTGTGGTTGTTAAAGTGTGGAACTGTTGGTGAGCATTTTGGAATGGGTGGGGGCAAATGCCATCTGAAATCACAGTGGTGTGATAGTCTAGAAAGACGGGGGAGGGGTGGATGTTTGTTGAGGTGGGTTTGAGGTAATGGTCAACAGCCCTCTACCCCTTGCTGTTACATGCAAATACATGCTGTTCATTAGTGGAGTCTGTGAGTTTAGGGAAGTTACAGGAAGACTCAGCAGTAGACTGACTGTCGGACCCCTACCAGGCCAACTACCCCACCTCAACACACTAAAAAACTACACTTTAGTGACTCTGACTCCCTTTGACATAGATGTGAATCATTAAACAATCAAGATTCCACTACTGATACTATCAGTATCCACTTTTCGAAGTGGGTAGTGGTGAATAATAACATGAAGTCAACAGAAAAGTAATAAACCCAAATGTTCTGCATATATGAAATTTAAGCCCATTAAAATAAAATGAAATGGTCAATTTAGGAAGAAAACTGATTAAACTAACATAAACATCAAGATAAGAACATCCACACAAAATCCTAATAACCAGTCCCAGCTAATCAAAACACTCTCTGAAGTCATGTGCAGCAGGCAATCAATTCCATACACCCACACCACCTCTAGAGAACCCTGACTAAGATCTGAGGGGCTTAAAAACTCATTAAAATTCCTTAAAAAGAAGGACATCTGAGACCACTGAAGACCATCAGAACTGAACATTTCCAAGAATTGTATACAGTACATGTACAAAACCACCAGCTGTACTGTTTTCTCATACTACATATGAAATGTAAAACAGATAAATCCTTCTAAGGTTCAGGTTGGTCTCCAATACTTAAAGGTTAATGCTTCACATTAACAGACTGTAAATGTGACTTTACTACTCTAAGCATTACTGTCAGTATATTCAGGAATTTTGGAATTAATGGGAAAAAATACAATGTATTTATACACACTGAACACTGAGTCCTTTAAGTATTCCTTGGTGTTTCAATATTCAGCTATATTCAATCTAAGACATGAAATGCCAAATAATTCAACATACACACAAGAACCTTGAGATATGTAAGTGAAAGCAATTAATTACTCATATCAAAAAGCAATTCAGTATTTTCTGATAAAAAATTTAAAAAAAGATATTGAACAGTATTTAACAACATTACACTCTATACAATGATGCCACAAGCTACAGATCAGGCAGGCTATATTAGAATTTGTCCACAATTTTAATTAATTACTGAATAACATAAATTCATAATTTAACCCAAAAGTAATAATAATAATAATACACCCAAAAATGAAACATCAAGATGTCAAGACATTCCTACAGGTATTAATTATTACTGCCCACCCCACTGTCCCCTAATAATAACCGTGATGCGCCCCAAAGTCATAGATTTTAGTTGCATCTTACCTCTTAGAGTTATTGTCCCAAGCATTTTAAAAACGTTTGCAATTACTTTTCAGGAAAAAAAGAAAAAGAATGGCTGTTTAACTGTTGCTAACAGTGATGCTTTTTGAACTCCCTTGTAAAAGTCCTGCTTCCTCTCAGACTACGATCAGCTGATAGACTTTAAGGCTACACTCTTGTTTCCTCTCTATCTCTGTCCTGCGAGCTCGTGTTGAAGCCAGGCGTCTCCTCTTCTGAGTTTCTGGGTGCGAATGAGGAGAGCGGGTGGGTAACATACATTTCAACAGACACTGACACATGTCCTATGTGGGACCACCCCACCCATGCCCCCCC